AAAGTAATTAGTTATTTTTATTATTTTATCGTTAATAAAAAGACTGCTCATAAATCAAAAGTGTTTTTAACTCATTTAAAATTATTTAGCATTTATTTCAAGGCTTCAATTGTCCGGAGAAAGGTCAACAGTCGTCTCTTTAATAATTATGTTATTTATTCCTATCTTTTATGTATATTAACAATATTATTATAACATAATAAGTGCTGAAAGTTCAAAGTGTATCATCTGGCTCTTATTTTGCCTTGAATTAAAAAACAATCAATTTGAGAAATCCAAATAAATATAACAAAGGATTCCTACTATCATGGGATTTGATCAGGGAAGAAATTATATTTTGACCAATTGTGACTTTATTACTTTCGCACGGTGGCAAAAAAATCTATCTAGTCATAAATCAAAAATATGTTTTATCTCATTTAAAATTATTCAGCAGAGATTGTAGTGTTAAGCACTTTTTAGGTTCTCGGCACATCTCAAAATTTACTAGTTCACTAAAGCTTCTCTTGAAATGAACAACGGAAAGTTTTTTGTTATCGTGAGGGAAGAAACTTGGATGGTTATGCCTAACTTCGTCGTATCCACTTATTTCTCTGAAGCTTGGTCGAAATCAAAAAACAGTTATTGTCCCACGCTAAGTACTTTAAAATGCTTTGAGCGATAGCTTTTTCAATTATTTTTATTCCATCCTTCACAGGTTTTAGTTTTGAACATTTAGCCCGTTTCTCTATCAATCTCGGTATCATGCGCAGAAACTTCGTTCAGAGAGAAGAAATTTATGACTAATGATGTCAAAGTAACCCCATGACACAAGGAGAATGTCGAGAAAAAGAAGCATGTAATTCTTCAGCCACCCCGCGCAGATGTCACTCCAGATAAGTTTCCGTTTTGTTTGTGTTGAGATGTCCTGTGTTATGTTTCGTACAAGAACGATGTCATTTGGTTACCATCCCGCTCGGCTTGTCCCTCATGCCATACCATCATCGCTAAATCAATCCTAAAATTATAGCAATAGGGCTGACGACTAATACATGGCACTATGCATTAACTTGGAAAGACTAAAAACTTTCCGTAACAGACTTAACAAACACACGACGTGTTATCAAGAAACAAAACAATAATGAAGAAACAGAACTTAGAATCTGTTAGGGATGGCAAGGCTGTGAGAAGTTACAGAAACAAATTTGGTGCGCCTCTGTTCTACTTCCACAACGAATCTGGAGATACATCATATATTGGCCTTGGTTTATAGCCTTTTGGCATCAAAAAGTGAAAAACAAAGGCCAATGCAGTGTTATATGATCTATTTCAAGATTCGCTGTGGAAATAGTCCATTATTCCATTATTATTTTGTTTCTTGATAACGCGTCGTGTATTTATTGAACTTTCCGTTCATTTTGTTCTTTCCCAGAAAGTTTTTAGTCTCCCCAAGCTAATGCATAGTGCCATGTATTACAGTCGACAGCCCTATTGCTATAACTTTGGGATTCATTTAGCGGTTATGGTATGATGTGCGAATGGTACAAGACGAGCGGGGTGGTAACCAAATGACATCGTTCTTGTACGAAACATAACACAGGACATCTCAACACAAACAAAACGGAAACTTATCTGGAGTGACATCTGCGCGGGGTGGCTGAAGAATTACATGCTTCTTTTTCTCGAAATTCTCCTTGTGTCATGGGGTTACTTTGACATCATTAGACATAAATTTCTTCTCTCTGAACGAAGTTTCTACGCATCATACCGAGACTGATAGAGAAACGGGCTAAATGTTCAAAACTGAAACCTGTGAAGGATGAAATGAAAATCGTTGAAAAAGCTATCACTCAAAGCATTTTAAAGTACTTGGAGTGGGACAATAACTGTTTTTTGATTTCGATCAAGCTTCGGAGAAATACGTGGATACGACAAAGTTAGGCATAACCCAAGCTTCTTGGATCAGGATAACAACACAAAACCTAAGTCATTCACCACAAGAGAACGTTTAGTGAACTGGTCAATTTTGAGCAGTGTCGAGTACTGAAAAATGGCGAAACTCTACAGTCTCTGGTGCCTGCTGCTCTCTCTGTAATGTCGAAAAAAAATAACTATCAGCGATAATAAGAACAATAATTTCCCTGCCATGCTCAGTCTCAGTGGCAAGGAATACGGGAAGTTCTTCAACGATGTTCTTTCAATCTAACAATAAAAGAAAACTATAGTCTTAGTTCATATTCAAATAACATTTTTGTAGTAAAGATCGTTTCCAATTCTTTCATACTTTTTATATACTAAAAATTTATTTTTTAGTGTGTAGTTCACTAATTTGATGCTTTTTCCCCATCAAATTCTGTAACAATTCTCATAGGCTGTAAAGTTTTTAATTTCCCAAAAATTTGGTTTATGGATCTTAGAACACATAGCTAGGTACCTCTACAGTTAGTCTTAAAAATTCCGCGTTTCAATTAAAAAACCTTTAAAATAAAAAATTCCTCAAAAAATTATATATTTATATTAATATTTATTATTTTTTGACAATATTAAAACTAATCTAATCGGATCGTGTAATCATTTTTAACAATTGTCTTCGTAGCTTTAGCTTTTAAAAGAGCGGAAATCGTTTGCTTAAGATCTAAGGACGATAGTCTTTCAAATCTACTTTTCCTCGTAGGACTCACATAGAAAAAAACAACAATTACTAAGTGACTAAGTGAATAAATAAACAATAGAAAATAAAGATTCTTTGTTCTTAGGCTGCGAGATTGGAAACGTGAGTTAACGATAAATGCGTGACCCCACCACTTTAAGGCACTCAGTTGGTACTTCGCGATAATAAAACGAATACCACGTTTGTTTTGGAAATAAATCGACCTTCATGTTAAATACTCAGTATTTATATACATTATATTCAGCCGGGATTTATTTAAAAAAATCGTGCTTTTATACATATAATTAATTATTCAGATTAACGGTCACTAATCTCTACACATATAAATATAATGTTCAGTTTTGCCCTAGTTATTCGGTTATTGTCACTTTCATTGTTGAGTTGTTGCTCAAATGAAATAGAAAGATTGGATAAGCAGTTCAAAAAGGGTTTTCACTGGTGAATTAAACAAATAAAATAAAATTTGCAATTTCTGCTTACCACTTGGAATTTTCGGAAAAGAAATATAAAAAAGTATTTACATATTTACATCGAGGGGAGCAAATATTATTCTCCCACTTTACTTCACTAATGAAACTTCACAACCTACTCCTAAGAAAGGAGGTGGCGGGGCCATTTCCTCTTGAGACGCCTTATGGGATTGCATGGATGGGTTCCATTGGACCAGGTTTGTGCAATACTGGGAAAATTTATAGTGGAACTTGGTAATTTTTTTTGAAATAATTAAATGGATATGTAAATAAATTATTTTAAGGTAATAATTTTAAGTGATAGGTAGCATTTGAGACACCTATAATTGATCTGAGGACTTTGATTGAAACGATTGGAGATAACGGAAGGTTTACCGGATCCCCAACTTCTATTCCATCGGTTGTAGTAGTGTTTTATAGACGCTTTATTATTGTCATCCTATAAATTTGTACAGTAGATTATAGCGTCTGTTTAGGTTGATTCCATGTTAAGCGTTAGACTAGGTGGAACCCAAGGTAACGAACGCAATCGGATTTGGGGATAGAAACATAGCTGTGATATTTTGTAAAAAGATTTGCTTCTGTGTGTAGATATGACATGGACGCATTTGTTTTCATTTCTGTTCATTTTCTATTTGTCTACACCAATCTGCTATACATGTTATTTTGCAAATTACCGAAGCAACTGCAGGATCGTTGAAATGTTATGTTTAATCTTCTTGATTTCTAAATGACCTTAAGAGTCGGAAAATATTTTTTAGAAAAATACCAAATTGTAAACCCAATCAGATGGGGGAGTGCCTAATCTGCCTAATGACTCTGGGAAAACAGAATAAGATTACCTGAAAGTTCCCGGACGGGAAGGCATAGAAAGAAATGAACAGGCTGACAGCCAAAAAAGAGGCAACCCTCTAACCCATGGAACTGGAAAAAAGGATTTAAAAAGAAAAAGTCTTCTCAAAAGGAATTTTCACGCTGAAATTTCGATAGGCATTCCTATAATGAATGGATAGCTTAGGAATTTTTGAAATTCCATCCCTAAGAGGATCATATGGGCAATTTTTTATTTTTTGACTATGTAGTGAACTGAAGAAGAGAAGAATTTGAGAAGTGAGACATTATGTTAGAAAGACATGCGACCATTCCGTTTCGCTACATCAAACCAGTCCTGCGTGGTCGAAGTCAGGAGTGAAAGCTATATATGAAATATAAAACAGTTCTGTTACTGATTCACAGACAACGCACAAACCAAACTGCTGGATCTAAAGGGCTTAAATTTTGACAGTGCATTCCTACAATGACATGGGGCAGTTCATAAGAAAGGATTTTATGAAATTCAATCCCTTAGGGGATCATATGTTTAATTTATTACCATGTACAGACCGAAGCGGACTGATGAAAGGAATCTGAGAAAGGAGACATTATAATATTAGAAAGCCATACGAGCACTCTGCATCGCTTTAGAAAGCATAAAAACAGAGCCCCATGTGGGCGAAGTCACCGGTAAAAGCTAAATTTAAAACAGTTCTGTAACTGATTCACAAAGCACAGACCAAACCACTGGATCTAAAGGCTGATATTTCGATAGTGCATTCCTATATTGAATGGAAAGCTAAGAAAGGATTTTTTGAAATTTGAAAGATCATATGGACAAGCTTTTACCATGTATAAACCGAAGTGAACTGAAGTAGAAAAGAATTGTTAAAATCTAAGACTATATTAAAAAAGACTACATTACCGCTTTAGAAAGTTATATTAAAAGAGTCCCGCGTGGATTTAGTCGTGGGTAAAAGCTATTAATAATATATTTTCTTTAATTGGAACCAATAGGAGAACCTTTGGATTCGAAACACGTTTAAAAATGAATTGTATTCTTTCAGGTCGAGCGATTGAACAAATTGGATCTCCCTTCAGAAGTGCACGAAGTAACTACTGAAGATGGCTACATCCTCACAATGTTTAGGATCCCGAACCCGGGAGGTACGCCGGTCCTTTTTGTCCACGGATTCCTCGCTTCGAGCGACATCTGGCTTCTTCTCCCGAAAAAAGAGCAGAACATTGGTAATTTTATAGTTTAATCCATTACATTTAATCCATTCGATGGTCCGATTGACCGATTAACATTTTGCAATTAGAATTTAATTTTGGGTCGGCTGTTTGTTCTTTCGAGGTAGCCTGAAGCCCGGCCTCTGCAGCAGGACGGCATTTGGCAATGGCATCAATGCCATTATCGTATAACGATCAAAATGCTAATATAGATAATCGTTCCAGTAAATTATAATTAATTATTCGTAATTTTGTAAAATTCCTTTTGAAACATTTCGATCTACGACGGTTAAGGACGAGAAGAGGGAATACACGATTTAATTTATTCCGAGAGATAACGAAGGTTTTTCTCTAACATTGTAATAACGCATTTACGGGTTGAAAGATGAAACAATAAGTAATTGTTATAATCTGTGTTGATTAAAATACAAAATAAATAGTTCAATGCAATGTGATAAAAAACACCAAGAGCTGCCTTGAAAACTGACATTTAAACACCAATACAGTTTTATTACACATTGTGTACACTTGTACAATAATTGAACTTATGATTTCTAAAAAAACGAGATAAATCATACCACATCTGGACAAAATAAAATCGAAGAGGTGCAGTAAGTTTTACATGAAGGTCTTAAATTAACTTTCAAAATATTAGTTTTTGACTGTTTAAACAAGGCTTGTTGTTTCAGCAACAATTGTACACAGTGCAGGATACGACGTTTGGATGACTAATTATAGAGGGAATGAGTATTCGAGAAAACATGTCTCACTATCGACATCTACCAACAACGAAAAATATTGGAATTTTGGGTGAGTTCTGTTTTATTCAGGATTTTATTTATTTAAATGTTATTTTATTTTTTATTTATTTATATATTATATTTTTTTTGTTTTCTACAAATAAGTCAGATTCGCCTTTTAATTGTATGATTCAAATAATATTTGAAAATTTTATATATGAATTAAAAGAAAATCATGCCATGATGTTGAAACAAAGTCTTACTTCGACTTCTTCCCTTGGCCATCTACTACACTTTAAAGCTTCGAGTACCTTCAAATTCACAAAGTACAGAAAAATAAATACAAATAAAATAATAACAAATATATAAAAATGAACTTTCTTGTCTACTAGGTCATAATCATAAAAATACTTGCTAAATAAAAAATTGAATAAAATTACTGATTAATATGGAGAAATTGATAACGAAGAAGAGGAGCTGTTTATACTTTTTAGTGACTAGTGACACACATCCCCCCTGTTATAAAAATAGAAGAAATAACGTTGAAATATTATGCGAGCAAATGGGCAAAGCCGAACCATTTCTTACATAAGACCCTTTTTGACCCCAACTTCAGCGAAAGATACTCTCTCTTGAGGACCCGTACGAGGCCGCTGGCTATAAGAGCCAAGGAAATATTAGTGGCGCGGGGAGTAGAGCTGAACCAAGTGGAGGTAGAAAACCTACCTGAAACACTCCCCTGGTTTCTCCCTGCCATCATCGTACGGTGGGATTTGGCAAAATTAAAAAAGAACGAGACACCTACCAATACGTATATAAAGGAATTTTTGAAGCCCTGGAAAACGAATATAGGGATGCCAGACCCGACTTCACAGACGTGTCAAAAACGGCAGAGGGCGTGGGGTGTGCCATGTACACGGAGGTAGAAACAAAAAATTGTCATTCCCTCCCGCCGCCAGCGTGTACACGGCGGAACTAGATGCCATTTCCCTCGCACTGAGCATAATAAAAAGTCAGCGTCAAGAATCATTTGTAATTTATACCGACTCGCTCAGTGCGGTACAGAAGCTCAGGAGAAGCTCCGGGGACGTTTACAGGCAATATTTTGGAATATCATCGGACCCGTGCGTAGTCTTGGGGCACGGCAGCGGGCACAAATCGCTGTACCGGTACCTCAGGGCTATAGGGATTTTCAAATGTATACAGTTTATGTGTGTTTGTGCTGTGCTTGTGTTGTGTCTGAAGTTTTTGTGTCGTGTTTGTGTGGTGTTTATGTTAATACACTAGGATGAATGTAATTTATTTGCGTGAATGGAAAGGGTTATTTACCCCGCCCCGAGGAATATAGAGTACTCTGGGGTGAGTGCGTGATGTCTGGGGAGTAAAAGTAATAACTATTAACGCTAATAACTATTAGCGCGAATGGAGTGGGTTCGGCCACGCCCCGAGGAATATCGAGTACTCTGGGGGAGTGAATGTGACCAGACTTCTATGTTTGTAGCGATATATATGTTATGTATTGTATGTTGTGTATCTATTTTTAAATTTACAACCTGATGTACTAACAAGAGGCTAGCATTTTAAAATAACGACGTAATTTACAAGTAAAAGCAGAGAGTCAGTAACCAGATTGAGATGCTCAAATGGCTGCAGTTCAATATAAAATACGCGAGAAAGACAGGAAATAGAAGGAATACACGTGAAGGGCCGGCGATGACCTCAGCTGTTTGTCGGCCCATAAACCTTCCACTTTATATATACTTTTTTTACCTATCCTGCCATATCTTAGGGAGACCTTATACAGACTGAATCTAGCTTTTTTTTTACTTTTAAATCATGATTAATTAATATTCTAATGGGTCCCCCCTACTAGTACTTTTCTTTACAATAGCTCAGAATACACTAGCCAAGATTAACCTACTTCGTGCATACAACAGTAAATCATTTTCTACATACAATTACAAAATACACAAATACCAAAAGATCTTAGAAGAAGAATCATTCTCACCTGATTAAGGATAGACCATGCACAGTTTACACACAGTCAAATTTGGGCTAAAGCCAGCATAAGTGTCTGGCATGTACAGAAAGGTTGTTTCATGCATATGACTTTTTAAGGCTGCCATTCCTGGCTCCATATAGAGATAGTAGGAATGGCATATGATAAGAGAATTGTGCTTCATCATGGCATTGGATTTCTGGGTAACCTGTTCCGATTTTTAGAGGAAATAGAACTGTTTTGCTGTATAGAGTATTTTATAGATATCTTGTCTTGTGTTTCTTAGTTTATATAAAGAATGAGTGTATTTATTAAAGTGAATGTGAGGTCGGCAGAATAGAATATCCATTGACCCTTAATTAAATTAGGTATATATCTATAGAGGGTGAAGGAGGAATGTCAAGTTCTCCATCACCCTAACTAAGTGAATATCCAGTAGACTCTAGTCATCAGTGCTTTTACTTAACTGTGGTTGCCACCCTAGTTGAGTTCGATCTTTTGATTAGCTCAAAAGTTGAAAGACAGAATGATAGTACCCTCGCCAACCAAATTTCCAGCAGTTGAAAAACCAGACAAAGCAGGCTCCTCAGAGTTTTGAGAAAGCTGTAATAGCAAACTTCCCCAATTCATCACCAACTACTTCTAACTGTGGAATTTAATTTGACTTTTTTATAAGTTTTATCTGCTTTATGCCACTAATAATTTTACTCAATTGTATCAATTGTCGTGTTTAGGTGCATACCAGTTGATGTATGTATGTACATATTATTTTTCATTTTTTGTGTGTGTGGAATAAACTTTATGCATGTTACCGTATTTTTTATTATTGAAAAAACCCTGAAATCTGTGTACATAAATTCATGCATAACATTGACGATAGGCATACCAGATATAGAAAGTGTCTGATTGGATGCAGATAAAGAATATGCTTCAAATCCTTAAATTCAAGGGGTTTCTTATTATCCATGGTGCTTGTTATTGTTATTATTATATGCTCGTTTTTAATATGCTTGGTATATATGCCCTGAGGATAACGAGAGTCTGTATTGAAGAGTGAAAGGCTGAAATGACCAACTGTTGATAACCCTTAGAATTCAACCTTGTTGGTTTATATTAGGACCCTGGACTGCGAACACCTAGGGTGGGTAATTTTTGAGGCCTAAAAAAAGTGTATTGTATACATAATAAATTAATTTATATAACTATCTGAATAGAAAAATATTTATCCAACACCTAATAATTAAAAATGATCTCTCATGTTGCACGCACTGAATGGTTTAAAGGCGCAACGTTTTTGTTTTATAATATAAGCTCTTCCATATCTGACAGCAAATTTTTGGAGTACTTTTAGTTTCCCCTTTCTGTGTGTTCTAAATTCTGTGCCTAACTTGTATTTGTCATACTGAGCATAAGGCTGTTGGCTTTTTTAAATTTAAGGTATGCTGCATAAGTCCTGTGACCAGTAAGAATTTGCATTACATAAAAATCAGGAAGCAATCAGTTTTGATAAAACACACAGGATTTTTTTGAGAACTTCTGAGCTATTCAAGTTTGCAATCAATAACCACTGGCAAGTTTGACTGTTTCACATCTCTGATTTGTCTAAATGCTACCTTCTTTTGAAAAACAATATCAATACGCTGGGATAGACGATAACTCGTAAGGAGTGAATGAATATTAACCTCTTGGCCCATTTATACCTCTATAATGCTCTGTTCAAGCATAAGGCTTTTGATTTTAGTCAATGAATTGTTTATATGTAGATGTATATGTTTTTAAAAATTTAATAAGAAATGTAACTTGATTGTAAATAGCACAACCTGAGAATGCCAATTGAATAAAGACAAAATTGGTCGTATCAATCAAATTTTTATTCCTCCGTGGATTGATTTATTAATACAAATTTTTAGTGTTTATAAATTACAAATAAATTATGTTATTTTCTGTAAGAAGCAGAATTTAGACAAATATAAATATAATTGAGATAATTATGTTGTTTACCATACCACTTGGTTGTCTGACAGGGTTTTTGTTTTATAATGAAAATTACACACATGAATTAAACACTGTAAGACCAGTTAATTAATGACCTACAACAGACTTGTGTATATTTTAATTTTTTTATGAAATATTGTGGTCTGTGAAGTGAAGAACCTGTATAACAGTCTCCAATCATCCTGGTCTGCCTGTTCTCGATGAGTGATGACCATCCACTGAACATAGCACAAACCACTTCCGACAGGCAAAATAACCAAATAGGGAAAACAAGATGATCAGAGATGATCTAGCCACAGTTTATTATTGGCTTTAAAATAATTTGAATTTTTTTCATGTCTAACCAATTCGATTTACCTTGATAATAAACCATTCGTTTTAAAACAATTAATTAATGTGAATTCTACAATGTAGGCTTCATGAAATTGGTGTATACGACATTCCAGCAGCTGTCGATTTTATGCTGAACAAAACGGGAGAAGAGAGTATTATTTACATTGGACATTCAATGGGTACGTCTGTCTGCATGGTGGCTTTATCAGAAAGGCCAGAATACAATAAAAAAATCAGAGCAGCTGTGTTATTAGCACCGATCATATTTCCCTTCTACGAAGGTAGAGTGCCATTTATAAATTTGCTGGTTAATTCTGCTGATCTTGCTGCAGTGAGTAATTTTTTTTTAAACTCCCTTACTATGTTAATAAATAAATTTATAAAAATTACTAGATTTGACATAATATAATTATTTTGTTTTTCAGAGTCTTTTTTACTATCTTGATATCTATGAAATACTTGGGCAGAACATTATAAAAAATACTCTCATAAAAACTTTCTGTGGTCTTCAGCTATCATTGTGCTCCAGAGTATATAGCTTTTTATTCAGACAAGATTTAGATAATATAATTGTTCAAGATTTGCCTTATTATATTGAAAAACAGTCAGTTGGAACTTCTGTACAATCGTTTCAACACATAGCAAACGTTGTTGGTTCAGGTATGACTGAAATGATGTTTCTTTTGTAATTTGATATAACGAAATTGTGCACATTTATTTAACATTTACTTATTTAACCATATACAAGTCAAAAAATATATTGCAAAATGTAGTCAGTGGTATTTCAAAAAGAATCCGACCAAACTATATTTAATTTTGTTGAATATTAAATATGAGTAAATTATTAATTTACAAATGTATATTGGTGTGTTATTCTCTTTCTTTTTTATATGTATATTGAATATAATTTATTTCCAATTGTTTCCTAAACTCATGGATAAAGGCTTGTTAAAATTTAAAATATGCTAACATTTGAATTTTGTTTAAGGACTTCAAAATTTTACGAGGTACAACTATGGTCCAGAAAAGAATATGATGTACTACGGAAGTGAATACCCGCCAAGATATACAATCGAGAAAATCACTACACCTATTGCGATTTTCCACAGTGAATCTGACGCTTTTCTTGATAATCTAGTAAAAAATTTTTTTTTTCAAAATATTTCTTTTGCGACTTTTCATTTGTACATAATACTTATGTAATTCCAGGTCCTGGATAGAATAAGAAACATCTTACATACTATAATGTTCGACTACAACGTTCCAGAGCCAGCCTTTCAGCATATGGACTACCTTTACGGTCTGAATTGTAGAGAGCTTGTCGCGCCACAAATTTTGAATGTACTAAGCCATTTCAGCAATGAAAATTTATACGATGAAAGTTTAAATTAACGCTTTGGCTGTGTTCTGTGCACTTTTCTAGTCTGTTTTATGGAATATCTACTTAAGAAATCTTGAATGTGATGGACATTTGTCAGTAAATAACTAGTTCCTTTAATAATTGTTACCAACCTTTATTTAATAACTGTACAAATACTTGTAAAATATCACTTTAGTGGCAATAAGCAAAGTGTATAATATGTACAAATTTAAATAAAGTATTTTGCTTCAAAAATGGATTCATCCCAGATTTATATTATTATTTATAGTTACCGATTACTAATTTATATGCTCAAATATGCACACACACACACACACACACACACACACACACACACACACACACACACACACACACACACACTCACTCACTCACACGAATGCACAAAAGTGTACAGAATTGAGCCTACATTATCATTACTCGCACCTACTGGCAATTCCAGCTTTTGTGACTTACAGTGAACTACCGGCAGACCTCGAGAATCATCCACTCTGGGTGTTGGCAGTGTGGGATTAGATCTTGGTTTTATTTGTCCAGCCATCGAGGTTAATAGGTGAAGTCTAACCCCACACTGCCAAAACCGAGAGTTCACTCACTCTTAAATACATCCTTTCCTATTTACAGCTATTCACTCAGTTAGTTTGGCGATCAATCAGATCAGAATGACCCTTGTTATATACGTCAGAGGGTCAACAGTGCTTGATATGTGATAGATTCCCTGCCAGTCTGTCTCACCAACAGTGCCACCTTCTTTCAATCATGTTTTTAAGTTTTTTTAGGATCAAACGGATCACAGTGGCTAAGTCTGGAGGTTCGGACATCCCATCCTTAACCACCTCATTCACCTTTTCGTTACGCTTCAGACCTTTGTCTAGGGTCAGTCTTCGGTGTTATCCGTCCAGCCAACAAGGTTTGTCCAAGATAGCTGACAACAGCTAGTGCATTAAGCATCCAATGCAGACAGTTCTCCTCAACCCCCCCCCCCACTCACACTCTCACTCGTTCTTAAATACATACTTTCCTATTTACATACCATCCATTCAATTTGGATAGTTTACTCAATATTCCTCCTCGAGGTATTCTCTCTATATTCTATGACTAATCTAATTGAGGGCCGATGGGGTACTCAATATTTTTCCCTAGTACCTCTCACACTTCACATTCATGCTAATAAATACATTCACTCTAATATGCTAGACACAAAAATATTAGTACTTTATGCAATAAGTCTGCCCAAAACAGTCCTATTTCCTCCAAAAATTGAAACAGGAGACCCAGTTAATCGCTGTTATGCTGCTGATTGAGAACTTTCAATATTGAGTCAAAGCGAGGAACCCTTTAAGTATGTGGGAAACATCGAGCAACCTTTCTCTAAATGCTGGACATGTACGTGGGCTTTGGCTTGAGTCAACCGCATAGCCTATCAGTAATCGAGTGAGGATGAGCCTTGTTATAAGTCTGTTCCTCTGAGGGTCACCTATCGACAGAGCTTGATGGGAGATAGCGTCTCAGCCAATCTGTCTCCTGCCACCTTCTTTTAATTATATTTTTGTGTAATTTTAGTGTCAGAGGGCCGGATCATAGTGAGTAAATCTGGAGGTTGGGACATCCCGGCCTTAACTACCTCATCCACCTTTTCATTACTCTCCAGGCCTCCAGTACCCAGACAACAACACCGTTCTGCCTAGACACTCCAGTTCATGGTATCTCTTCAACAGGAGCACAATAGGGCCAACAGAGAACCCAGTAACCGCAATGAGGGGGTCGATGCATACTAGGTAGACTGAGCGACATCAACTTGAAATTAGAAATGATAAATGCTGGAGTGATTGGGTTGTTATCTTTTTAAAAAGATAGTTCCTATTCAACTGCATTTAATGTTCAACTATGTTCAACAAACTGTGAGTAGGGACTCTCTTTTGTAAAAGATAATCTCGAAAGTTATAGTTAGTTAAGAATAGTCCTTTATTTAATGACTGCAAATTAAAATTACTAATTAAAATTTAAATCTCTTACTTACATATCAGATCTTTGGTCAGCCTTTCAATCGGTCAAATTATATTGCGACAGGTTTGTTCACACGGAGTTTATAAATATAATGTTTTGTAAACTTTTTTCAATCTGCAAAACTTGTTGGATTTGATATAAATAAACACTGGGTCATATAACGAACATTTCGAGCCGTTTACGCGCCATGTTTTTTAGTGACGTTTTGCGCCCTTAAAATCTTATTTGCTCCTCCCCCTCCGCATCTGACCGTTTTTTCCCATTTTATTCTACGCACTACGCAGGTTTTACTTTTTAGTACCATTTTTGTCTCGGCGTGAAAAACATTGTTTTTTTGGTTCCGAATGGCTTCCATTTTGCCCCCGATCAGGCCATACTCGGTTTTTGTGCCTCCGACGTATTTGTTTCCAACTGTTTTGTTTCGAAATAGCTTCCATCTCTTAACTATTAGTTTTCCTCGCTTCAAATTTCTATCTCGTTATTTGCATCTTTTTACTCCCGCGAATAGCCCGCTAAAAAATATTTGCGAGAAAGGTTAACGCGAGTGCCGCGTCAAGATCGCCGTTTAACTCGTGTCTCATAACGCCGGGTTCGGATGGATACCTCAAGGTATGCCGCGTCTGGTTAAATTTACATTTTTTCTACTACTACTAATCACCGCACATTTTACATTTTTTACTTTGGTCAAAGCTTAAAGTGCATTTTATCCACAGCTCCTCGCAACGGTCGCTTGGGACGATCATGGCGGGAGACGGCGCATCCAATCGAATCGGTGAGTACTCTATTTTAAACTATTGCCATTTTTCTTTTAGATATTTCAACATACTATGTACACACGATTAATGTAATCACACTAATGTACTGTACTGGTAGAACACATGCTTTGAGGAGCCACCCATTGTTGGCACTCGATGTTATTAGGTGTCAAGATTAGGTATCGAGGAGGGCCCGAGGCCACCGACGGTTGAGGGACGTGGCGGGTTGTCAGGACGGGGTTAGGATGGTTCGAAAGGTTGTTGTGAAACTTCACGAATCGGGAAAGGATCAGTTCGTTGACGAAAGGAATGCTGAGGTCTTTGTGGAAAGTGAGGTTAGTGACATAATAAGGTGCTTTGACAATTTGTCTAAAGACTTTCGAATTGAAAGACTGGATGCGCTGGATATTAGATGGCAGTACCCCACAGTTTCACTCTGTATGTCCATATTGGTCTTAGTAAAGTATTGTACAGCTTTGTTTAGTTATCAAAGTCGATTTCGGTCTTAGAAGTCTTCGTAGTAGTCCAAGTGTTGTATTAAGTATTTTTTAAGTCGTGTGGGAGTCCACGTCAGTTTGGTGTCGAGATATAGTCCCAGGTATTGACTTGAGTGTAAACTGGTATCTCTTCGTGTTGATGTACAATGGAGAGCAAGATTGCTTTTTCAACGTAAAAGTACACTGAGTGCATTTTTCTTCGTTCAGCCTTGTCCTCTTTGTTTACACCAGTCTTCGATAAGCTCAAGGTATTCCTGGATGTTGGAGGTAGCATGGTTAAGATCGAGTTAGAGGATAGGATTGCGGTGTGTGTCGCCCCCGTAGGTGTTTATCTTCCGAGAAATCATTACCGCACCTCACTCTGAAACAGCGATCAGTTAGGTAAGATAAAAGGTAGTAATGACAGGGCAGGAAGCGCTTAAGTTTAAAAAGTATGCCTGCATGCCGACCCTCAAAAAGTTAATAAAAGTTAGTACAAATAAAGACACAATTTTATGTTATTGCTTTCTACCATTAAACTATAAATATTGATGATGAGATGAAGATACTTATGATGCAGGGGTTTGGTATTACCTAAGCACTGCAGCTTTTGCCTTATATTTTTCCTAGTTCCTAGTTCAGTTAAAATGACTTGATCCGTTCTTTCTTAAAGAATTAGTAGATCATTGAAATTTTTTTTTAAATTACAAGGGCATCCGACAGCTAGCTTTCCTTCATTCCTTCATCGACCTCCATAGAATAACAAACTAATCTAATTGTGGTCGACGGGTATAAATATTCTGCCTTCGACCCAAGTCACGGACACAGCTCGAGAGGCGATGGAGATACTATTTCACCATCATCCCCTCCCAATTCACACTGATAAATACACTCACCCATTCAAAAAACATAATTACAAAACATATTTTGAAGACTATATACAATAAAAAATTTCCAATTCCCCTAAAAAGCTGAACAGAGGACCCTGAAAATCGTTACTGTGTCTGAGAACCCTTTTAAATCTGGCGGCATGCCCACTCGCACCCAAGGCATGAGACACTTCAATTATGTGGGGCACATCGAGCAACTTTTCTCTGCAAGGTAGATCTGCGGGGTTGGCCCACAAGCAATTGCCCATGGGTCTACCGCGTATGACCTATTCTTAATGATAATTCCTTGTTTCCGGTTCAGGCCCTCGAGGAAACACCATCGCCAGTTTTGGAACCATCTGTAAAACCGAGACGCAAACCGGCGTATCTGTTTCTAAGTTCAAAAAACTTAGCCTTGTAGTGGTATGACGGTGTACATGTATTGGCCAAGCTCGACAGATCGTCACGAACGAGTATGGCCGAAAGGGTCCAAGGGAGGTGTTGGTCGTCGCCCAGACGAAGCACCGACCCCAGGGCCAGTCACGGGTCACCTTAGGTTATGTTTCCAGTGTGCAGTTGGTTTGCATTTAAACATAATATGGGTGGTAGTTTCTGCCTTCTTATTGCATAACTTACAAAAAGGGATATTGAATATACCCGTGTTGTGTAGGTGTTTTTTTTAAAAATTCCAGTGACCAGTATAGAGCCGTATCGCTGAGTTGTACTCTTTTTAATCATAGTTATGTGTTTGCCAGTTTTGGCTATGGGTTCTTTATTGTAAGTTTATTTTGTCTGACACCTCTAAAATTCGTACATTTCTCTTTTTGTTTGGTGCAGACCCTAAAAGGAGTTCATTTTGATCTTGTTATTCCAATTATAGCTTCTGGGCCTCTCTTGCAGATACACCTCGGTTGGCCCTTCAGTGGATTAAGGTGTAACTCTAATGGAGCTTTGCATATAATTTAAAAATATAATAAGTTCTTCATTGCTCATTAACGAGTTGACGACCGAATTTAAAGGTGGAGTGTACATGTGATTTCATTCCCTCACATGTGTACCTCCGCATAAACGATTAGACTTAAGTTGAATACCATCTGGCGAACATAACCACCG